AGAATGAAAAGTCATATGAGGGGGCAAAAAATAAAATTCTAGAAACTCAGACTGGCTGCCCTGAGAACAAGCATGGATGCACTCATCAGAAAACATTTGAGATAACGGCCATTCTAGAGATAAGACCAACAGACCTGCAGACCACAGATTTACAAGATTTGATTATTCTCTCATGGCCGTCTCCTTATACAGTCATAGGATACCTAATTGAGAACTGAAGGAAAGGAAAGCCACGGGTACTGCACATTACGAATACTCTCCCCACTCCCTAACCTTTTTTTGGAAACATACTGGAAGAGGCGTCAGCAACTGACAACAGATTTTGTTCAAACAGATGAAATATTTTCTATCTCGATAGATCCTCTCAGTTTCTCCCCTATTCTTTACTACATCAAATTCAAAAAACAATTAGGATAACTGTATACAGTATAAAAGCTAGTACAACCCATGCAAATTCCTGATCTTGCAGCTGTGGGTAGACTGCAAACCACTGCATTGACATTAATGCCCAATCATTTTAAATTGGGTGGTGCTGGCACATTAAACACCACAGAAAGAATCTATAATTGCATTTTATTATGCTACTTAAATTGGGAGTGATTCCCTTTTTTAATTCTTCTTCCAGTGAAGATCTTTGAATATTTTAAAATGTTGCTGTAAATCTGTATAACAAGGAGAAATTTGAATAGACTAAACACTATGTAGCTCATCAATGCAATTGCTTTTCTAAACCGTTAGCATGTGCAGTGACACAGAATTCGCATGACACAGACCCAGGCACAGAAATCAGGCATTTTGGAACAAGGTCCTTTTCCCTGACATCAAGAGGAAGTGAGAAAGCAACTACTGAATTATTCATTACAGGAAAAAAGGAAAGGAGAAAAAAAAAACTATAAAAAGAAGGAAAAAACTCCTACAAAAAATGGTCATATTTTAAAGAAAAAAATTCGGAGTTTGAAAAAAAAAAAAAGTTACTCAATCTGCAAAGCTGATAAAATTTTTTGCCAAAGTTTCCAATCTCTTCCCTACTTGTTCCCCTCTCACTCCAAAGAAGCAGGGTCTTAGGACACAACTGTCTAGCATCCCTCTCCAAAACATCCCCAATTACATTTAAACTATACTGACAGAGTGGAAAAAAAAGAAAAAGAAAAAAAAAAGCAAGCTAGATTTCACAGGAGTTTTCTCCTCCTATCCTTCTCTCAGTGTATTTATCTGTTAAGGTCTGGTCTCTTCAGTTATGCCACACTGAAAGTATTACAGAAGTCCATTCAATTAAATTGTACACAACTCATTAACATAATTTCAATAATGAAGCCATGCAATCAAGAAATTTTAAAGCTTACCCAAAGGCAGACAGGAACACACAATCATCATGCAAAATATTTGCTACTCTTTCAAACGTTCTGTAATTGTCAGAGTCCTTTTGCTCGAAGTATCCAACAATACTTCTTCTGCTGCGCTGTAAAAACAAAGCTTAAATTATAACTTACCTCAAATCATCAACAACTATCATTACTCCCTAAGGATATTAAATATAGAGGTGCCATTCATTCAACAGCCAATAACTGTGCAGAAGTTATTTCTTTTCCATCTTTTCAATATTCAGAAGCATCCTTGTGAAAATTTTTCCAGCGAGGAATATTAGAAGTATCTTGTCAAATACAACATACAATTCTTTTCAAACTATTAAAAGTGAGATGAGTAATTTGAGAGTGGAGTTATTGTAACAAAATGAATGCAGTTGAAAGCGATTATATTGGAACAATCTGTAATACTGGAAATGATCCAGTTTTGCACTTAGTTTAAAAACAGCACTCAACATTTCTGAATGGGAAAAAGAAGTAAATATATATTTCAACTACGTTATGTTTCACCAGTTCAACACTTTAAAAAATAAATAGAATAAGAATATATTTAGAAGGAATAAAATTGAAATACTTACATCAAGAGAACTAATTTCTTCCAAATCCTGGACCTCCCGTATAGGGTTACTCTTCTGCTGTCTGATATAATCTGCTATTGCTGTCACAGATCTCTGGCCTCTGTATTCTCTCTTCATCATCATTCCATTCCGGAAGAGTTTCAGGGTTGGATATTTGCTTATCCTGTATCTCTGAGCTATATCCGCTGAAAAGAAATTAAGAAAATAAAAACCCCTACAAATACAGAAATACATTGAACATGGTAAACATGTATACGTGTGCATGTAAGTGGAATCGCTGAACCAGTAGTTCCACATTTTTAAAGAACTAAAAAAACCCACAAACCAAAACAACCAACCGAAAAAAACCCCTAAACACCGTCATAGGGGAGAGAACAGATAGCGGCTACAGTATTTTTCATATGCATTGATCTTCATTAAAAAATCATGACCAAAATCAGGGGTAAGTAAAGACTCGACTTGGTCAGCTATACTCATTTAGTACACTTCCTACAAACAACTAGGAAAGCCAACTTCAGAGCATAACAAGAACGTGACAATATGAAGAGCTTGCCCAATCTCAGTTAATTAATCCACATGAGAAAATTTTAATAAAATAAATCATCCTCTATTTTTCTTTAAATAACTTTTTAAATCTCAATTACAGTGCTAGAGATATAATTGTCATGTATTAAATTTTAGAGAATGTGAACAATGTGCAAAATATTTCTTGAAGTCTATGAAAGCCAGAAGACTGCTGTTACAGTTCTGAGCTGTTCAGATTTTGAACGAATACAAAATTTCAAGTTTCTAAATTAAAGCAAACACCTCTCTTGTCAACCAGTGTCAGCATTCCCTTCAAGATAGTACATCATCCACATCTATACATGTGGCCCAGCTTTCTTCTAGACTTGGACCACACAGAGCTTCATGTAATAAAGTAACACATATTTGCATTCCTCTCGCATAAGAGCACCAGCTATTTTCACCTTTATATAAGAGGTCAACTATTTCAGTTATTTATTAATGAGACTTACAAATGTAAAAGAAGAATAAAAAAATGAAAGTAAGTTTTACAGTAAAAGTAGAAGAGCAAAGAAGAAAGCTGAGCAGAATCAATAAAGCCCAGTTTTCCACGAATGTGTGTCCTGTGCTCCTTATCTTCAACCACTACTAAGGCAACGATCCGCTTCTTCACTATACCTCGCCACTGTACTTCAAGTGTCCCTTCATCCCTCTTCCACTTCGGTTAATCACTGGGACACAGCAAGTTGCAACAGGTTCTGGAGCGAGTTCCCAGCTATCCATTGACAGGGAAACTTACACATAACCAGCAAGTGGTTCCTGGCGCACTGGGCAGGATCCATCAGCCTTGAGTTTTTACAGCAACCTTTGCTACAGTGCAGAAGTTAGCTTTATACATCTCCATTTTTCAGCAACCACTTTTATTAAAGTTTGTAAGTACTTAACAGCTTTGAATGCTCTTCCCTCATTCAGATGTGGCGGAAGTTTAGCAAAAAGCTTCTTGGAGTTTTTATGAGGAAGGACTGGAGAAACAAGGTAGCCAGATACACTGTGGATTCTTAGGAAAACAAGACTGAAAACAAACAATACAGACAAAGTATGTAATGCCAAGTAGACTTCTGCAAGCACTTTCCTTTTACTTTGTTTAATTATGCTCTCCTATTCACTCCTCCCTGGGAAATATATCTAGAAACAGAAAAATTTCACAGCCCCTGTGAAAACTGGGTGTTCTTTATGACAGGGTGGGACACACTTTACCTAAACCTCAATCACGTTTGTACTTAAATACAGCTAAAGCCCCAAATATGAGCAGTTAGCCCACTTTCCAGAGCTGATTAATCCTTTGAGGTGACTTGTTCCAGTCAACCATACCCACGCCACGTCTCTCTCAAAGAGACTGTGAACTTAAATGGACCAAGTTGTCCTTTGGAGACAGAGAAGTTTCATCCAGTCAACAGAGAGAGAAAGACATTGAAAGTGTGGGCTGAATGTGTGTCCTGTTACTTTTCACTGACTCCTTAGAAGTCAAAGGGGACACTTCAGGTGACCTGGACTGGTCCACAGCAGGAAGGCAACCAAATGAGGGTCCATCAGAGTATCTGATACAGTACTGAATGACGTAAAAACTAAACCTTTCTGACAAGAATGTCCTTTCTTCTCAACTACACATTTACCGTGAAGCAGATTTGCTTTATCTTATGCTTACTCTTTTTTAAAGAGCATGGAGACAGAAGTCCTGTGAAAACTGTTATTTAGAGGCAGTTGTCATGAGCAAACTGCTGAAACTGGACAGCTAACACACACCTCTCAGATGCAAACCAAAATTAAAACTCTGTGCAACTAGAAATAAGTCATTCCCCTATGGAACTGCGCCTGTAACTGTCCTCCAGCAGCTAAAAGCCTGAAAGAGGTGGAAAGCTTTAAGAGATAACAAAAAAAATTAAAAAATCTGCATTCCCCACTGCTTGGAGATCTCAGTGAAATCATCAGTAGTTTCAATTGCTGCTAAAACACTATTCATCTCTTGTAGCTTTAGTTACTGAAAACAATCTTTGTACCAGCTGCACAACTTAAGTCCAAGAACTGAAAACAAAACATGCACAGCAAAGGAATAAGAACCATATCTACTCCACGAAAATGTTCTTCCACATCCCTCAAACCAGTAAGCTTAAAAGCTTCACCAGTTCCTAATAAGCTTTGCATCACTTTAAAATATCACAGAATTCAGTCTATCAATATTAACTAAGAAAGGACTTGAGCTGTTTCCTAAATATCTCAGAAAAGCTTCTTAATGCACTAATTACAGTTAAAATTAAGGGTAAGATATTTTAAGTCCTCAATTCAGAGTACTTTCATTTCAAATTAATACTAATTTCTCAAGGCAAGATGCCAATATATTCAACATTAACAAGAATCAGAACAACACTTTTTTCTTCCTTTAAATTCCATCATTTTTTAGTTACTTAAGAGCTGCCTGCAAGAAGGTGGCAAGTATAGCAGAGGAGGAATTACTTTGTATTTGCTCTGTGGAAGACAAACAACATCAGCAAACAAGGCATTTGCTGCCCTTCTCTCCTGTTGATGGAAGGACCTTTGGTCTGACAGTACGTCAGTCTATCAAAACTTGACCAGGGCCTGATAAGAGACAAGGAGTACTACATATCAAGGTTTCACAGAAACACGTTGAGATCAAAGACTGTTGATTGTTACAGAATTCCACAGCAAGAGAGCACCAAAACTACATTTTTTTTGGTCTCACAACAATGTCTTTTTCCTTCAGGCTATTTCCACAGTTATAGAAGGATGCACGGGTTGCGGAATTGGCATTCAGGGGGTACTGAAGCTTCTCTGAGATGGAGACTGCAGTCCCTAGGGATGTGAATCTTCATCAAGTGCTGAAGTTGCATAAAAAAACCCACTAATGGTACATAAAATACCCACTGTCAAGACTGAATTCAAACATTATTTCGTAAGTCAGAACTTGCATGCTCTTTACAAATTACATTGAGATTCCATGAATACTGGTATTTGAACTAACACAGAGAGATGATAGTCCTACACAAGTAAGTATTTGAAAACCATCTTTTTACAAAATATAAAATGCAAGTACACGAAAAATTGTTTGAATTCATTCAAAAGTCAAATAGAGTAAACCTTAAATGCTTCATTAAACCCTGGCATTTGATACAGGTAGAGTTAGCATAAGCAGAGCAACTACAAAATTATATTCCTTTTAAAATTGGAAATACACAATGCAAATACATGGAATATTGTTTGAACTCATTCATAGATTGCATTAGTTATAGTAAATTCTAAATTAAATTTAAAAATATTTCCAGACATTCTCACTGCCCATTTTCTGATGAAAAGAGGTATTTGAAATAGATAAGGGTAACATACCTAAAGAAGAAAAAAGAAAAAGTCTCTCAGCTACAACTTTACATTTTATTCAGGTAAAGGTACAAACCCTGAGTTCGTATTTTGCCCAAATAATCATTAAATCACAAGCCTAGTGTTTGCATCACCAGAACAGTTTCACACTTGTTATGACAGGAAGCTACTGACATACTAGATCACCACCTTGTCTTCTACAAATCAGAAATTTCAAGCAAAGCAATGACTTGAATTCAGATGATTCTCTCCTCCCTGTTCTGCACATATCCTTGTTGGCATCCAACCATTTCTAAACTGCCCGGACTATTTTCTACTATCCATTCCACACACTGTGACAGGAAAGTCTTCACAGTCACCCAGTTCTCTTCATAGATGCTCTGTATCGGTACTTCTTATGAACTACTGAAGAGAAAGCAAAGCTGCCTCTTAAAATAGGGATGAGACAGAAGCTTTTGTTGATGTCTTGAAAGAGCCTAACATTTCCACTTTCTAAGATGGTTTCCCACATTGTCTTCTGAACAAGCTTCTCCAAGAAAATCCCCTTTATGAGCTATCATTTGTGATCGATATGTTTACCATGTCGCTTGCATTGTCAGCCATTTCTCTGTTGTCTGAGCACCATTTGTTCCTCTACTCAAAGCAATGCCAAAAAACATGTTTTGGAGGTGTGTCAGGCTTTTCACATGGCATGTACACACATTACCTAAACACAGCGTCAAGTAAACATGCAGCCTGTGACGTGATTCTCAGATGGCTTCAGACTTCAGTGCTCTAGGTTAACACCACAACACAATGTTCAAAGTCTTCAGCTAGTATATCAGATCACACCACGGAGACCCTCATGTCCACTGTCACTAAATTAAAACTAAACGTACGACGATGAATACGTTGAAACACTGCATCAAGACACGCTGTATCAAAATAGGCTCCCACTCTGCAATATTTACAGGGGTCAGGCATCACCCCAGCGTTACCTTGGTCCACTGTCTTTGTCTTCCAGGGTCATAATTCATACCAGTACCAAACAAATATTTAGATTTTAAGTCTACAGGACTGGCTCTTGAAAAACGTATTTGAACAATACTGATAATTATCCTAAATGCTCACTTCATAATATATTATAAGGCACCACCTGAAGCAATTCACATGCTGAACAGAGGGCTACAACAGCCTGAAAAATTATCTGGAAGAAAACAAAAGTTCCAAAACTCTAACCCCATAGAAATAATTTCTGAAAACGCTCATAATGTCCCTTTTTCTAAGGAAGGTGTTCATGTTTTCTGAGGAA